TTCATGTACTCGAAGGGCTACCTGTCAGCTGTGCAGCTGCCATGACTGAGATGGAGGGATGCAGACTGTTGGATAGATTGTCTCTGTCTATGCCTGACTTAGGCCCCGGCCACACAGGCTAGATAACGTGGTGGTGGGGGGGGAGAGGCGTGGCTGTTCGCCCCGGAGCAAAATAAAGCGCGGTAGCCCGATCACACGGTCCCCCGAGTCTCCGTGCTTCGGCTGTTAGCTGGCGATCACACGGCGATGCTGCAGCGTGGCAAAGAAGCGGCGCAGTGCGATCACACAAACGTTTCGCATTTGTGCACATGTGCAGTTCCGCTTTCAGTTTCGTGTTTGTGCACATGCGCTCACGAAAAACATCCGGTTTGCGACGGGACGTGGACGAGCACCGGATGCCATGGGATACTAGCGCTCCCGCGATCAGGCGCCCACCCCTGCCCCATGTCTTCCGGATACTAGTGCACTTTCCGAGGTACTTTTTTACTGCGCACCTTCGGCGGGACGCCACGGGTTGGCCACGGGTGCGCTATGCTCCCCAGATGTTACGGTGTGATCGCACCCCAAAAATCCGCCTGACATTCGTGCCTTTAGCGCGGCAAATCCTCGTGTGACCGGGGCCTTAGAATGTTAAGTTTCGATTCTCCTTGCCTCCTTATCATCTTGCAGCTTAGGCTGGTGCCCTTGGTACCTTGTTACTCTATTCTCTGGGAATCCTTAGCCAGTAACCTTGGCGGGCTTTTGCCGTTATTCTGATTGGCTCTGGTCCATCCCCCTGACCCCTTTGAATCATGTATATTATTCATCTGGGAGCGCTTATTCCCATTCCTGACACTAAATGTATGTGCAGATGACTTGCCTTTACGGACTCCAATAAACTTTACTCCTTTGGAAAGAAAGTTGATTGCTGCAGGACTCTGACACTGTCATCTAGAGGATCGGGCAGAGTTGTTTTTCGGTTGCCCCAGAAGGTCGGACCAGAACCAAAGGGTTGAAATTAAATCAGAAGAGTTTTCGGCTAAACATTAGGAAAAACTTCCTGACAGAGCGGTACCTCAGTGGAACAGGCTTCCTCGGGAGGTGATGGGCTCTCCTTCTTGGGAGGTGTTCAAACAGAGGCTAGATGGCCATCGGACAGCAATGCTGATTCGGTGAACTTGGGCAGGAAGGGTTGCCTCAGTGCTTAGTTCGCGTGGCCCTTTCTTACAAGCCTGGGGAAATGCTGATCGCCACTTTGGGGTCAGGAAGCCATTTTTCTCCAGGCCAGTTTGGCCCCGGGATCCTGGAGGTTTCTTGCCTTCCTCTCTGGGCATGGAGCAGGGGTCACTGGAGGAATGGGGGGGGGGAGTGGTAGTAGTGAATTTTCTGTGTTGTGCAGGGGGTTGGACTAGATGACCCCTAGACACCTTCTAGCGATATGTTTCTATGACTGACGTGGAGTACAAAAAAAAGCGGGACTTCTCCGAGAGCAAGTGCAGGAGGTATATATATTCTAGGGCCCGTTTCCTAAGAAATGAAGGTAATAGTTCATTTACATGTGCTTACATTGAAAAACAGTGCAGCCAGTCATTTATCAACATAGCTATTGTACAACAGCTGTCACAGGACACGAGACGGACAATGTAAAAAATAAAAAATAAAAAAACATATATATATATACCAAAGGAAACCATGAGAAAGGAGAAGAGCTCTCCGTACGACGAGATAAATACACAGTGAATAAAAACCCCCAGCGGGTGGGAGGAAATCCCAACTTCGGGAGGGGCTATTCGTTTCCCGTAATCTCTATTTACAAAATTTCGCCTCCCCTTCTTCCCACTTAGAAATAATGTTAGAAAAATAAATGTGGGAGGTGGAAAGAGGATGCCTTAAAATGCTGGGACCCGATTCGACTGGGGGCTCTCCCACACCGGCCCCGCTGAAAACAACAGGAGCAGATCCCAATTATTTTACTGGGGCCGTTGCAGGAAAGCTAACCGGCCATGTTTGGCCCCAGTTTCTGAATCCCGTTTTCTTTCTTTCTTTTTTTACAAAAAAAAGTTTAAAAAAAACACAAGGTACTGTTTCTGTTAAAAAAGATGTTTTTTCCTAAAAAAATAAGCGATTAAAAAAAAGATTGGTGTACCTGCAGTTCATAAAGATCTGAGATCACTTAGAGGAGGAAAACATAAAACTGGAATGTGAAAAACAAAACAGAAACAATGCTTTTCCTTGTTATAAACCCCACCCCCCAAGTTGGTTTGGGAATTCATTTTGTTTCGAGAAGCACCCAGGAAGTGGTTCTTGTTCCTTTTGGTCTGAATCCCGCTTCTGGGGTAGGGCGGGGAGCGGTTTTGCGTGAGGTTTCCACGAACACGCCCGAAAGCCCTCTGCAGCCGTCGACGGCGAAAATTCTGCAACAAGTTTCGGAATGGATTGTGAAGAAGGAAGCCACCCCCTTTTCCTGCAGGCCTCACTTTCCCTCCTCACTTGGGCCGTGTGGAGAAGGCTCAACAGCTGTAGGGATCCCAGTTTTCAGGCCGGGCAAACCTTAGTGAAGAACTAGAGGGCACCTCTCTGTTTCTAACGCTTACGGTGGGACCGGCAGGGTGATTGGCGAGGCGAAGCAGCAGGTGCGAGGCTTCCGTGCCTCTCCTCCTCACTGCTCATTGTTGCTGGTAAATCCCTTCTCGCCAAGCTTCTAAAGCCCCCCTGATTATGAAAATGAATCCAGCTTTGGGGGGCGGGGAAGAGGCCCGTCAGCAGTCAGACCTGCTGATTCCCCTATAGCATCCCCGACTCTGCCCCAGCATGAGAGCCCCCCTCCACTTGCTGAGATAGACCTTGTTCTGCACTGATTTGTGGTGCCGTTCCCAGACAGACGTGGGGTACACAAATATGCTCCCCGACCAGGGGAGGGTTGACAACTTCAGAGCGGCTCAAAAAAATTGCTCCGTTCTACCCCCCCCCCAAACTGGGCAGGGGAAGTTGGGATCTCAGTTCTCGACACTTCCCGGGAATTCTTCGGGGGAATGCCCTGATAACAAAAGTGGCATAAACCCAGTGCCAGTGAAGTACATCCAAGGAGGATAAACTTACAGGAAACGGCAGCTGGTTATCTCGCCAACTTCTTCTACTCTAGTTTCCTCTCTGTTCTGGGGAGACAGGGATTCTAGGAATGGCATATGGGCCTTCTATGGCTAATGTTCACATGAACCGACGGGCGCGAAGGCCGATGTCTCCTGCTTTCCCTATTACCCAGGCAGGCTTCAAGCAATCCTGGTTACGGAGCGTTACTTCTGTGTGCCAAGCAAGACTCCCTGCAATGGATTGAGCAGAGCTAAGGAGCAAGGCTACGGACTAAGGGGAGGCACGCCTGAGGAAGGGACAGGAGGAGCCAGCGTTCCCTCTAAGCTGAGTCAGTGTGAGCCGGCTCACCGTTTTTTAGCCTCCGGCTCACACATTTTTGTCTCAGCTCAGGAAGGATGGGGCTCCAGAGCAAACTAAGTGATGCAGCAGCCAAATGGCTCGCTCACGACTTTAACGCCCGGAGCTCACAAAGTAGGAGTTTTGCTCACAAGACCCCGCAGCTTCGAGGGAACATCTATGTTGCTACTGACTGCACACGCTGCTGCAATATAGATGCTCTGTCTCGCGATGCTCGCAATGCCAGCGTCTGTGGGACCGGCCCAGAACAGAAGCCCCAGGAAGGGCCTGTTCAACAGCAGTCAGCTGTCAGTGGGAACTCAGCCTCCAATCACTAAATGTGCAAAGATGTTGCTGTTCTCGGGAACTGGAGACAATGGTGGCGTGGCTGCCAACGGGGCGAGGCGGAAGAGGGTGGAGATGAGCCCTCCTGGGGATTTGTGGGTGGGCACGGCAACATCTGAAACATCTGGGAAGAGCACACAGCCAAGGCCGGGACTGAGGGGCGTTGCCGGGGATTCCAGCAAACATCGACCCCGAGACCGAAGATGGCTTCACGCATGCCTTGAGGGAACTGGAGCGAGCAGTTTTCTAGAGGCCGGCAGGTTGACCCGGGACATAGGGACACGTGTGAAATGTGCGATTTCTGGCCACGTGCCTTTGGGCAACACTGCCTTTTGTTTGCAGCGGCACCGGACATTGGATTTCCTTGCCCTGTTCTTAGTTCACACGCACGCTCCTGGCCAAGCACAATTGCGCTGGAGGGTTTCGTCTGTGTTTACTGATATGAGCTGGAAGGCAGAGTCAGGTCGAAAAAGAAAGGGTCGTTTTTGGAATGACGATTCTGTTTTCCTTAAAGCCCTCGCTCAAAAGCCATCTCCAACTGGGCCAGAGCCAAGGGGCAAGCAGAGGCCGGCCCCAGTGGAAGTCGTTTTGCTGGGGAAGGCATTTCCATGAAGAGAGTGGGGAAACGCGTACAACATCCATCCGCTTTACCATCTCATTTCCTGGGATGCACACCCAAGGCCCCAGGAATAGAGAACCCAGGAGTCCTGGCTCACGGGGCCGTTTTCCCAAAGAGACATCTCTCCAGCAGGGCAGGGGAACCCGGAGTGAGGAGTGACTCGCTTTTCAAAAGGAACGTTCCATTCTTGGCAGGGGAGCAAATCTACCTGAGCGGAAACCCGGCTGGGAAGATGGAACCGTTTTGCTTGCATTCAAAGCAGCGAGAAATGGCGGAGAAGGACGCAAAAGAAATTCCCGGAGGGAAGGGCGGCAGTGCCAGGTCCCCCCCCAAAACACCCCCCCATCCAGCCCCAACGTCGTTACCCTCCTTGAGGATAAAGCCCCCCGCAATCCGTTGGTCGGGAACCTCCTGGCCGCGGCTGAGGATCACCTCCCTTGGCTTGTCCTGCTGCATTTCAACCTCCCACCAGAAGGGGGAGCCTCCCGTAAATAATGCAGCCCAAGTGAGAAGGCGCCGGGAAGGGGTCCGGATCCCATAAGCAAGGCCCACGCCCTTCCAGTCCAAGGGCCGGGGGAAATGCCAGTCCGTTGGTCCGTCCTTCCTGAAGGCTCAGTAGGGCGTTCCCTGCTCACATGGGCGGTACGATGAGACCCGTCAAGGCTGCGAAGAGAAGAACAAGGAGTTCATAGTTACTGGCGGTGGCAGGGACTGGGGCCACCGACCTCCAGGTGGGGCCTGGAGATCTCCCGGAGTTACAACCGATCTCTGGACTGCAGAGGTCAGTTCCCCTGGAGGCCGGACTCTACGGCATGGCCTCCCTGCTGTGTTCTCTCTGCTCCCCAAATTCCACCCCCAAATCTCCAGGAATCTCTCAAGCCAGGGTTGGCAACCCTCACCGGAACACTGCTGACCCTCTATGCTCAACCCCACTCTGGGCAAGGCCTTTTATCTTCTCTTCCCAGGCACCGCCCTCGGTTCCCCTGCTGAGGTAGTTTTCCCTCCAAAATCGCCTGTTAGCCAATCACAGGGTCCAGGGGGATGTAGGCCCTGATGATCACTCCCACGCAGGCTTCCCGGGAGCCACTAGGCCTCCCTAGAGCCTGTAGGCCGCACTACCGGCCCACGATCATGATAGCATCGTAGACTCTACAGGAGCAAGGATGGGTTGGCGCCAATGTTCCCTCTAAGCTGTGGAGTCTTGTGAGCAAGAATTGTACTTTGTGAGCTGCTGGCATTGAAGTTGTGAGCGAGCGATTTGGCTGCTGCATAAATGAGTTTGTTCCGGAGCCGTCCCTTCCTGAGCGAAGACAAAAATGGGTGAGCCGGAGGCTAAAAAACCTGTGAGCTAGCTCACATTGACTCAGCATAGAGGGAACACTGGTTGGTGCCTATTGTGCAGATTCTTTGAATTTCGGTATGTGGCCAAATGCTTCGAGGACCAGTTTGGATATGTTGTAAGTCCGGGAGATTTCCAGGCCCCCCATGGAGGCTGGTGACCAATGCTCCCTCTAAGCTGTGGAGTCTTGTGAGCAAAAATCCTACTTTGTGAGCAGCTGGCATTAAAGTTGTGAGCAAGCGATTTGGCTGCTGCATAAATTAGTTTGCTCTGGAGCCTCCCTCCCTGAGCTAGGGCAAAAATGTGTGTTGTTGTTCAGTCGCACAGTCGAGTCCGACTCTTCGCGACCCCATGGACCAGATCACGCCAGGCCCTCCTGTCTTCCGCCGTCCTCTGAAGTTGGCTCAACTTCAATGTGTGAGCCGGAGGCTAAAAATGTGTGAGCCGGAGGCTAAACAGCTGTGAGCCAGCTCACACCAACTGAGCTTAGAGGGAACACTGCGTGGTGACCCCAGCCTTGTCCCAGGCCACTGTGTGGCAGAGGCAGGATTTGCACCAGAAGTCCTTCGAGTTCATAGCTCAGTCTTTCAGCCACGAGCCCTCGCCAGGCCCAGAGCCCGTGCTGCCATTTTGCTTTTCTTCCCCTCTCCTCCTCCGGGAAGGGGAGAGGTTCTGTGTGGGTTTATGTCCTTCTCCTTCTCCCTCTCGGGCCTTGAGCCTTTAAGCCAGATGTCTGCGACATTTCGGATAGGGCTGCCAGGTCTCCGGGGGGGGTTGCCCACTCAAAGGGTCCCCGACCCAATGGCCCAGATCCGGCCGGCAGGGGGACGCCGGACCCTAAAGTGCCCAAATCTGGCCGACGTGCCCGACGCGATGCCATCACCCGGAGGTGACATCATTGTGCTGGGCATGTTGCCGGGGGGGATGCTCTAGCATTCAGCCTGAAAACTCTATGGTACCATAGAGTTTTCAGGCTGAATGCCAGAGCGTCCACCGGCGGCGTCCCTAGTGTGATGACGTCACTTCCGGACCGGAGGCCCAACTCCCTCCCCCGCCGAAAAACGTAAGGGACCTGACAGACCTACTTTCTGAGCTTGTGGGCACCTTTGGAATCCTGACTGGTGCAGCCACAAAATGGCTGCCGCAGGAGGCGGAGCCAGTGGCAAAATGGATGCTGCGGCAACTTCCCTTCAGTCACACACGGAAGATCCTCGTGCTGTGGAGGCAGCTGCCGCCAAAGCGACGTTTAAAAAAAACAAAACAAAAAAACAGCACAGGCAACCAAATCTCCGGTGGCCAATCAGAAGCCTTGTTGGACAAAAGCCCCACCTGGCCTGGCCCACTTTGCAAAAACACTTGGCGGCTGCCCAGAAAGGTGTCGACAGGCACCGTGGTGCCCACGGCACCATGTCGGGGACCCCCGCTTTAAGCCATAGGCCTGGACTGGCAGACAAGAAAAGCCACGCCGTGAACAGTCCTGTGGAAAATAACACCATGGCCCCCCCATGGAGATGAGGAATGTCAAGGAGATCACAGTGGGGAGTGGTGGGTGGGAGATGGAGGCACCGGCCAACTACCCCCCTCCCTGCAGCTTTTTGAATTCGAACTCGGCCCTCGCTAGCCCCCCACTCGAGCGAGTGTCAGATCCCCAGCCTGACCGGAACCGGAGCAAAGACCTTGGCGGGATGTCACAACCACTTATGGCGGAGAGAGGAGGGGGGAAAAGAGGGAAAGGTGACAGAGCGAGGGCGGGAGCGGAGACGAGAGAAGGAGAGAAGAAACATACTGTGTTTAGGAATATGCCAGTCCCTGGAGCGACCGAGACGGTGTGTGAAACTTGTCTGAGTCCTCAAAGGTTTGGTCTGGTTGGCGGGACCGAGCAAACGGCAGCCCAGGGCAAGGGAAGGAAAGAAAGCAGACACGTATAAGCAGGAGGGAAAGTGAGAGCCAGTGAGGTCGGGGGGAAAGCGAAGGCGAAAAGCCATCCAGGAAGAGCAACGCTTTTACACCGAGGCCGACCCTCAGCGGGTCCTTTGGAAGGGAAAGGATGCGGCCTCTCGTCAGCCGCCTTTTGACCTGCGACCACCGACACAACTTCTGCCCCAGCGTGGCCCCGGCTGCGGGTCAGGGAGCGGAGGGAGAACCAACTCACCTTGGAGGCTGTTCCCGTTGGCGCTGGTGCAGGTCGGGGGCGGGGAGGCTTGCGGCCGGACCACGGGAGCAAAGGCGCTTTTCTGCTTGACGGCGGAGATCATGTTGACGGGCGAGAAGGAGAAGACGCCCGCTGGCGTGGAGGAGCTGGCGATGGAGGAGGCACCCAGGGGTGGGCTGGAGGGCATGACTGCCGGAAGAGAAGGGCAGACGTTGGTCAGGGGGGAGGAATGGGGCGTAGGGGCAGGAAGCCCAGGAAAAGGAAGGCTCGGTCGTCCCTTCCAATCCTTTCATGGGAGCACATGTGAAGCTGCCTTATACTGAATTAGACCCTTGGTCCATCAGGATCAGTATTGCCTACTCTGACTGGCAGCAGCACTCCAAGGTCTCAGGCAGAAGTCCTTCGCATGATCACCTCCTGCCAGGTCCTTTTCAACTGGAGATTGAACCTGGGACCTCCTGCATGCCAAGCAGAGGCTCTTCCACTGAGCCACAGCCCCTCTTTACAGCTCTCCAGGGTCTCAGGCAGAGGTCTTTCCCATCACCTCCTGCCTGGCCCTTTTTAACTGGAGATGCCGGGGATTGAACCTGGGACCTCCTGCATGCCAAGCAGAGGCTCTTCCACTGAGCCACAGCCCCTCTTTACAGCTCTCCAGGGTCTCAGGCGGAGGTCTTTCCCATCACCTCTTGCCTGGCCCTTTTTAACTGGAGATGGTGGGGATTGAACCTGGGACCTCCTGCATGCCAAGCAGAGGCTCTTCCACTGAGCCACAGCCCCTCTTTACAGCTCTCCAGGGTCTCAGGTGGAGAGGTCTTTCCCATCACCTCCTGCCTGGTCC